TAATTCTGGACTTCTGAGCAGATATTATCACTATTCATTAATTAAACTGGAAAAGTAATTATGACATTATTGCTATTCATGACATCTTTTTTTTTATGTCTTAGATCTCATTTCTATTTTCTTTTTACAAAAGAAAAAGAAGAGAGAAGATTAAAACTACCAAAAAAGATGTTTTGCTTGAATGAAATTTACCTTCTGGGATCTTAACATTTTAATGATGTATTGAGAGATCTTTGTCAGTGTTTTTACTTGTCTCACATAGTGTTTACAGTAATTAGTCGAAGTCATGTGATTTGTAGATTGTAAAAGGCCACCAGTTAATCTTATTTTTACTTGCATAAAGACTAAATAGAAAGTAAACAAAAGAGTAAACAGTAAAATAAGTGTTTTTCTGAGTGATTATTCCTATTAATGTGTTTGTTACCTTCTTAAACGAGTATTTTAAAATCCTAAATTCTTGAGAAAACCTTATGGAGAATATTATTGCAAGTAGTTTGTTCAAATATGTTAAAATTAGAGCACAACCTAGTTCAGTTCACAGCCAGAAAGTGTCTGCTTTCTGTGGGATATTGAATGTTAAAAGATGAATCGCTAAAATGCAAAATATAAGAAAATGGGAAATCTCAGGTCTGTTCCCAATTTAAGTAATATTAAGTAAATTTAAGGAAAAGCTGTACTTACTTTGAATGTGATAGATCTACGTTTGTCTTCTGTTTCCAGTGTCTTCGTTGCAGCTGAAGGAGGAGTTGCTAGATGGAGAGGAGTACAGCTTCCTTCAAGGAGCATCTGATCAGGAAAGCAACGGATCTGCCAGTTACTACATCAAACAAGAACCTTAAGGCAGCTCAGACGAGTGAGGGGCAGAACACTGGCGACAGGAAAAGAGCCTTTCTCCAAGACTGACTGATTTTGCTCCCACTTGGATGGTACAGTTCAGGTGACTGTACCTGGGGCACTTTGCTAACTGTAGATGAGTTAGACTCAGTTCAGAATTTTTTGGAAGGGCGGGGAAACTATTTTAGTGAAAAAAGATTTTTCAATTTATTAAAAACGAAAATGGACACTTTTGTGTTGTATTTGAAGCTTTTGAAAGAATTTTGTAATATTTTCCAGTTCAGATTTATTGTGCATTGTTAACAAGAACTGAAATTCTAATTTTTTGGTAAGATTAAAGTTTAATTAGCATGATTGTGGGAAGCGGTTGGAGGAAGATATAGTACAAATGAATACATATGAATACAAATGAACTGTCATAACAAATGAACCTTTTTGGTACAAGTTGGGAGACTTTTAGACTCTTGTGAACTGCACTGGTCACGCCTCTGTGTTTTTTATTGTGAAAATAAGGCATTTAAGCCTTAACTTAGAGGCAAAAAATTGTATGGAAGATAGTCCTGTAAAGCTCTACTCAGTGAGTAGCCCCAATTGCAGCGGAGCCATCACCTGGAAGACTTTAACTTTTCAAGATGTTTTTATTTACTTTAAAATACTTTTTTTTATAAGATTTTGTTTTTTAAAAGTTCCTTAGGGTCTGATTCAGTGCCCATTACTATCAGTAGCCTTGTCTCCATTGACTGCAGTGGGCATTGAATTGGGACTATAAAGCTCTTGTCTGTACACGAATGTCTGTAGTCTTGGAATGCTTCAGCAAATGTTTACAGAGCCCTATGCCAAACTGGAACTTCAGAAAATTCCCTCATTTGGAAGATTAGTTTTAGCGATGAATTTAGACTCAAGAAGAAACTTAGATGGACAGCAACTCAGGCCTCTCTTGTTGGTAAGAAGGAACTTCTGAGTATTCTTCTGATTTAATTTTTTTTTTTTCCATTTGGAAAGACCTAGACGTTTCCTTACCATCTTAAATATTTGAATATTCAAAGCTGATGTTCCACGTGGTTTCAGGTGAGCTAAAAGGAGCCGTATGTTGTGGATTAAAAAAATAAGTTCTGCACAGCCTGCAACATTCTTTTCTTGCTGCAATAGTGTGATATGAAGTTGAGACTTGAGAACAGTATGTAAATCATATACTGTCTAGTGTATAATTCAAAAACTGGATTTGCTTATTGCCTGGAATCCTTGTGTCTCACTTCAAGTACCCCATGAGCCCCACCTGCTTAACTGTCCAGATTTTTTTAAAGGCAAAAGTCACATAAAAGGGTGAAAATTACTACCAGCAAAATACAAAGTATTTTAGCATGAGCTCTTCATAATTTGGATTTTATCTTTCCATGTTTTAAACCTTGTGCGCTTTTGTAAATTGTGTCATTCATGGAGTTGATTAATGAAATGATTAATCAGCCCTGCAGAGCTGTGACTGGAAAAATGTGCATCAAGAGCTTTAGCTTTTACCAGTAAGGTTCATTAACGAAACTCTCAGGAATTAACTGCGTATGTTCTATAAGTGCTTCTGGGTCTTAGCAGGTCCCTTTCAGAGCAGTACAATGATCATCTGACTCTTGACCATAAATTAGGGCTTAAACAATAATTAAAATTATTAACACCTGTGTTCCTACAGCCTAAGAAATGCTTTAAGGATATCATCCCACAGAGCCCCAGGAGACCATTTTTGTATATTGTTGTTTGAGCATAAAAAAAGTGCATAGAAAGTTGAAAACCAGCAATTTGATTATTTTCTAAAATATTGCTCTAACTTTGGGTACATAGTATTGGTGATATGCACAGGTTTACCTCATTCTATGCAAGAGGGGTTAATTATGTAAAGTTTTGTATTTACTACTGGAAGTTAAAAATGTCCTGTATAGTGTAGGAATGTCTGGAATTCTTTTCTCCCTTACTGGTAAAATTTCTTAAATAATGAACCCTTTTTAACAACAGCTTCTTATATTGACAGAGTCTGGTTATCAGATTATAAGTGTCTGTAATTTCAGGTGGTGATGACATTTTAGCTCTCTAAAATAGCCAGTAAAAGGACTTTGTCAGGCTTGGTAGACTTCAAATACATTCTCTCAGATTCTGACCCACCCATGACATCTCTTTTGAACAGCCTGGATTGGAAAAGTAGGATTAGAGACCATTGTAATGACACTTTGAGCCTTGAATATTTTTTTCCTGTGTTCTCCATTTAACCTGCTGTAAAATCCAGCTCTGCAAGCGTTGGTTTGGTGTGGTAAGTACATCACTATTGATTTAATTTTTAATGCTGCAACTGGGAGATTGTCCCAGTCAGCTGGAACAGGGGTGGCACAGTCCTACTTGCTTCTCTTATCAGTAGCTTCTGACTTCAGCAGGACAACTGTTGCATTAATTTGTGTTTGATAATGTGAAAATTCAGGCTGGTAATGAGCAAGGTCTCCTGCCAAGTCACTAAACCTTGGGCTTCTGTGTATCGCCCAGGCTCATACCTGATTTCTGACTTAATCTTCAAATGTCAAGAAGGAAGATGGGCTCTTAAGTTGAACACACTCCCTGTGTTGGAGACTGTAAGAATCGGATTTGAAGTCTGTCAGTCTTTATAATGTTCCTCAAACATGGGTATTTTATTCATTAAACACTAAAGTATGTGAGTTGACTTGCATTTTCGGACACGTGTGACTTCACTAGGAGTTGCGTGTTGAGACTTATGAGTGTCATTTCTTTGTGTTTCTGAATTCAAAATATACCTAAATTGTGTAATTGTCGAGTACAGTGAAACCTGTCCTAAGCAAACCATGTGAGGAACAGACTGAAGTCACTTGCTTGGGAGAGGCTCAAGAAAAACCTGAGCAAAACTTTACCAGGTCTTTAGAGTGGTCTCTTCAAAGCGTGGGCTGCCTGTTGGCTGTGGTATCCATAGCATGGGCTTCACTGTATTTGTAAAGCATTCGTTAGTAATATGGCTCTGGGTGTTTTTATCTTCCCTTTACTCCAAGCTGTGTTACTTGGGCTAAAAGAGCAGCAAAGTGTTGGACATCTGAAATCTTCAATGGGCTCAAACTAATCTCAGTACATGGCATAGCAGGTTTTTATAACCATGAGGTAGCGCGAGTCGTGTTGTACCTTACGTTGCAGCTACCCGTCTTTTATTGCTCCAAATCTTTCTGCTGATCTTTGTTTTTTATGTTATTTGAAATACAACTCTTTAACCTTTTCCTTGCTGCATCTGAGGAAAGCTAAAGCAGTTATGAGTTCCTTGTTCTACGGATACTAACACGGGTTTCAGTGTTTGTTTGTTTTTTATTGTTGTTTTATGTGATGTGAATACCCTCTCCCATCAATATTTGTACGATGGTGCTAATATATTTGGTAACAATCCTTTATTGGGAAGGGATTTTAAAAAAACTGTGATTTAAACTGAATTTTTCTTCCTTTTAATTTTCATATTTAAAGCAAAAAGCCACAGCCGTTTATACAAAAAAAGGCATCAGCTTTGGCCTCTGGGAATATGTTGGGGTGGGAATCAAGATTAAACAAATAGGGTTTTTACATTGTTTCTGTATGTATTTGATATATAGATCAATATCTGTACAAATTTAATCTTTTATTTTCTTGGTAATTTGTGTGGTCAATGAGAGAGAGTATTTAAAGCTTTCTCATGCAATGTACATAACAGTGAAAAAATGCTTTTGGAGAAATTAATGTAACTTTCATTTTTACGAGACTGCAGATTTTCAGCATGGATGTGAAAAGCATTAAAATTATAACTTTGTGTACAAGATGAAAATAATTCACTAAATTTGCCTTTTTTACACAAAATAAAAATGACAAAAAGACCTTTGATTTGTTTTATTCTTCAGAGGGCACTCTTTGGCATGTATATACATGGATTTTGGTCTGTTTCTCTCTGAAGAGAATGCACATTAAAAAAAATCCCCAGGGCTTGTAAAACCAGGAATGTTTTGGGTGACTGGGTACTTGGAACACAAACTTGAGAGGCTCTGAGCACAAGGTAAAGGGGTTTTAATGTGGGAAGGTGGCTTTAGGAAAGCATTTAATAGAGAGCAAGGCCTTGTATCTCACAGTTGGCACCGAGAGTTGATTTGTAATAAACACACCACAAGGAATTTGTTCATATCATCCATTTATTCGACAGTGCTGAAAAATGACTAAAATAACCGTGGTGATAATTGCTCCCAGGTCACTAGCTGGAATGAGATGATGTGTTACCAAGGCACAATTCATTCTGGAAACTCATTTCACTCATAGATCCAGTCGTGTGCACAAGACTTGTAGTCAATGAGCTCTGCGGGTTTGAACCACAGGTTGATCTCCTTCTGGGCACTTTCCACAGAGTCACTGCCGTGAATGATGTTTCTGGGGGAGAAGACAAACACATTGTTTCATTTTAAAATACACCTTCAGCAACCTCTCTTCATGTGCAAGAACTTGGATGAAGCATCTAGAACTGCAAGACTACTATTTGGAGTACGGTATTCAAATTGCCCCTAATTAAGCTTATTAATTGCTAATTAAGCTTAGCAGAGGTGACTGGGGCTACTCTACTATACCAGCCACGACTGATCTTACATGAAGCTCTGATGAGTAGCTCCATTTCAAAAAAAGTCATTTTTTTTTACCAAGCCATTTTCTTAAGTGGCAGTTATGGACTGTGACCTGCAAATAAAACACCATCAGGCTAGGATGTCTTACAAGAACTCTGACTTCCTGAAATAAAAGAGTTGTTAATCTGGATTTAAAACTGAGCACAAACCTTCCTACTTGAATGCAGAAGTCACCACGGATGGTACCAGGCTTAGAGTCTGCAGGGTTTGTCTCCCCTAGCATTACTCTCCCAGTTTTAACCACATTGAGTCCTTCCCATACCTAAAAAGACAAACAAATCCTATTAATCCATGCTTATACAAAATACCAAAAAATTAATCTTTCCTAGTAAAATACTTTGTGAAAAAACAAGGGCTCCACCACTAAAAAAAAATTAACCTAACCTAGATTCTCTTAGGCCAGTAAAGATGACAAGTGAAAAAAACATGTAAATTGAAAGGGAGTATAAAAAGGGCTATCAACACTGTCCCTCTGGTAAAGAAGATACTTTATGGAGCCTCAGAGTGCACTGATGTAGGAGGCCAACGTCAACACCTTTCTGCAGGGCCAGGGTAAGGGCAGCCCCATGAGCTGCAGATGCTCCCAGTGAGGTACAGACTCACAACAAAGGAGATGCTACTGGAGCAGTTTTATTGTTTTGGGGGAATGTAAAGAAAAGAATGACATAGAATATGGGTTTCTATAGGAAAGCCTGACCTTTTTTTGCCCCAAACAAAAGATTCTTTGGTGCAGAACATTGGCTTTCAGGAATTTTGCTTTTTCCATGCTAAGCATTTTAATATGCTATTTATCCATATTAGGCACTTTTCTCCTTGTTCAAAATAGTAACTTTTTACTCAGTTGTCTTCATTTTAACGTTGGGGTTTTTCTGCCATTAACAGAACTGGGTAGTTTGAAGAAGTGTTTCCGTAACAGTATATCTGAATATTTTAAATAATTTACAGAGCGAGACAAACACATTAAGAAAGCAGTCTGTGAGTAACAACAAGCTGCTTACCATGGCCACAACGGGTCCAGAGTTCATGTATTTCACCAAACCAGGGTAGAATGGTCGGTCTTTCAGGTCAATGTAATGCTGTTTGAGAAGGTCTTCAGAGGCCTTTGAAAGGACAGACATAACATTAAGTATCACTTCCCAAGCACCACACCACACAAGGTGTTACTGCTGTAAGACCACAGCGTTCCTGGCTGGTTCACCCACCATCAATATTATCAACGGTTGCCGCAATGCTGCTACGGCTTTCAATGAAAATTCCTGATGTAGAACTAGAGGAGTGTGTAACACACCATCCGTCCCTGTAGGGGTGTCAGTGTTGTCCAAATTATTTCTTTGTATTGTATTAATTATAGAATCACAGAATGGATAGAGTTGGAATGGACCTTAAAGATCATCCAGTTCCAACCCCCCTCCCACCAACACCTCCCACCAGACCAGGTTGCTCCAAGCCCCATCCAGCCTGGCCTTGAACCCCTCCAGGGATGGGGGATCGACAGTTCTCTGGGCAACCTAGGCCAGGGTCTCACCACGCTCACAGGAAAGGATTTCTTCCCGAGATCTCATCTAAATATCCCCTCTTCTGATTTACAAGACGTCTAGATGATGTTACCTGACACAACCTTTCAGCCAAGGTCATTTCAGCTCTCAAAATTAGGCTGCTTTAAGCCATCTGAGCAAATTTCGTTTCCCTGGGAGACGGGAGAGATCAACCCTTTGTGCCTGACAGAGAGCTCAGCCTGGCGCCCGATCCAGCGCTCCCAGCTGTCGGGGAAATTCAGCACCGGACGCCCAGGCTGATGCAGGAAAACCCACGGGGGATGTATAGATATAATATTTAAGTGGTTATTCTGGCAAGCGAGGGGAAGCGTTTCTCCCGGAGCCGATGCCGAGACTTACGTGCACGAACTTCATGCCCACCAGCCGGAAGCCCTTCTGCTCGAACCGCTTGATGATCTCTCCCACCAGCCCCCGCTGGACCCCATCGGGCTTGATGGCGATGAAGGTGCGCTCGCAATTGGCCGCCATCGCGCTGCGGGACAGAGGGACACGCAGGCCCCAGCCTCAGCCTCCGCCACCGCCGCCCCCCGCCGTCTCCTCAAGGTCGGAGGCCGCCGGCGGCCGCCCCACCATGGCGGGGCCCACGTGGCAGCGGGCTGGCGCTGAGCCTGCCCCGGGCCCGGCCGCCTTCCCCTCCCCTTCTCTCCGCCGCCTTCGCTGAGGCGAGGCCTGCACCCCCGCCCCGCTCCCGCCGCCGCGCTCGGGGCTGAGGCGGCCCGTCCGCCATTACGCGCCACCCGCGCCCCCCCGGCCTCCCCTCACGGAGCGGGGTGGGGGAGGCCCGGCCCCCGCCTCACCTCACCGGAGCTCCCGCAGCCGCTGCCGCCCGCGCCGCAGCCGCCGGAGGAAGAGGAGGAGGAGGAGGAGGTGGGCGGCGTCCGGATCCTCCGCCCTGCGGAGAGGAGGAGCCGTCCGCCTTGAGGCGCTTGGGGGCGGGCCGGGCGGGGCTGGGGGCTCGCTTCGGCGCCAGCCCGCGGGGCCGGGCAGCGGAGCGGGAACGGGATCGGGAGCGGGAGCGGGAGCCGGGCCTGGCGGAGGCCGCTGCGCTCCCTCAGCGTCCCTGGCAGCCCGCCGGGACGGGCCGCGCCGCACCTGCCGCCTTCTCTCTTCTCCGTTGCCATCCCCAGAGGCGTCCCCGCCGGCCCCGCAGCGGCGGCTCGACCCCAGCGCCCCCCGCACCGCCGCTGGGAACCGCATCTGTCCCGGAGCGGGGCGGGAGGGGCTGGAAGGCGGGAAAGGTGGCAGTGGTTTTGTTGGGATAAATTTGTCAAAAGGCAGGTGTGAAACTTCACAGTCCCTGGACCCGTGTCCTAACAACAGTTAGGAGGAGCCTCGATACTTTTTATTATATTTTCTACTTGATACTTTAGTAATTTTCGAAGCACCTTTTCTCTCCCTGACCCAGTTACACCCCTACGCCACCGCCGCAGCTGCAATACTGAAGGAACACCCTTTGCTGTAGTTACAGGGTCTCCTGCGACTGCGTAATTGGTGAAACTGCAGCGTGTTCAGTCAGACATCTCCCATCTGCATCCCCTGAGACACTGACCTCCACCTCCTCTCGGTCCCAAGGCATTAGAAATACTAATCAGTAGCTTTCTGACAGCCCACACATCTCCAGGTAACCCCCATCTCTCTATTTTGTTGCAAGTAATCAAGAAAAAGAAATCTCAAGTAATTCTTCAAGCAAAAACGGAACTGGAGAGTACTCGCCTTATGCACAGGTTTGTCTCGTGTTCCCTTCTCTCTAGCAACCTTTAGCTTAATCATTTATCTTCTACAACATTGAATATTTTGAGAAGAGAAGCTAACAACCTCACATACAGCTTTGTAGTGAGGGAATTTGTTCCCTCTCCTTATATTCATTAATTAGATCTAAGACAATATAATGAAAACTTCCTTTTATTTCACTTAAGATATAGCAAATGTTTTATTTTGTACCTTCTCTTTTTCAGGAGTTAGATTTCTTCACAAGTTTCATGAGCATTGAATTCAACATTCATCGCAGGGTTTAGTACTTGAAACAAGAACTCGCTGTAGGAAAAAGTATCTACGGAGTTTTGAACAACTACTTTGATGAAACTCTTGCTTTTAATGAGTACAATGTTGCAGGTAAATAAATACATAATGTCCACCCCAACACACTTCTGGTTCCTCATCTGGTACAGCCAGTGAGCATTTGTTAACATTTCTGCAAGAGGCTGGTCCTTTTCTCTGATAGAAGCAGACACCTCTGCTGAAACACGTGTAGTGTTATCATGAATGTATTTCTTTACATGATTTCATACATTTAAAAAATGCTAAAGTTACTTCTGAAATACCTTATCCAAGACCAGCTTGCTTTGTAGTTCCAACAACCAAGGAAAAGACCCCAAATGAGGACGCAGCTAAATCAGCAGCCACTCTGTCAGCAAGGCCAGTGTCACCCTGCTGCTGCTCTGTGCTGCTGCAGAGTGGCTGAAGGCAGATCTCCCTCAGCCATCCTCACATTAATCTTCTTTTCACATAAAAGGGCATTTCAGAAAGCATGGCCTATTAATCCTTCCTTAAAACCTGAAATAACTCCCATGTGGGGGGAACAAAAAAAAGCTGAAACAGTGTCAATCTAGTGAAAAGTTCTCCTTTTAATCCAAGGTGTGCTCCGTGCACAGGCACAGCACGTTCTGGAGAGAGAAATAAATAAGCTTTTCCTGCAGCTGTTTTGGGTGTGGGGGTTCACTTCATACCGAGTTCACTCCTCAGCATTTGGGCACACTATCGATGTCTCTACACACCACCAGTTGTGCCCTAGCATTTTAACAAAATTAACCTTTGATACTGATTCATTTGCACATTTATTTACCAAATATTTTTTTTTTCTATTTACCAAAATACCTTCTTTGACTACAGAGTGTTTCAGGAAAATATATGCATTATATGCTCCCTGGTTTAATCTCCTGTCTCTCACTCCCAGAAGCAGATTTTTAAAAGTACAATCCCATCTATAGCTTGAGAGCTTTTTAACCAAAGCAGCAGCAAACACTGACTATATTTAACATTCACAACAGAGCTATCTCAGGGATTTCTGAAGCAGGTTTCTACCGGTTTATAGGGAGGGCTCTGGAATACTAGAGAAACCAGCTGTTTGCAGAGAGTAAGGACATCAGGAGGTGTAGGCTCAGTTTTAGTCATAGATCCACTCATGAGCACAGCTCCTGTAATCCACCAGTTCTTCAGGAGCAAACCATAAATTGATCTCTGTCTCAGCACTTTCTACAGAATCACTTCCATGAATGATGTTCCTAGGAAAAGAAAAGGTAGATATAAAAGTAATATTTAGCATCTTTAGATGATACCAATAGTTTCAAAATATACCTTCCGACTTGAACGCAGAGATCACCACGAATGGTGCCAGGCTTTGAATCGAACTGATTAGTTTCCCCCAGCATCACTCTCCCAGTCTTAACCACGTTAAGACCTTCCCACACCTTAAAAAAAAAAAAAAAATCCATTGAGATTATTAAATCTTAGCAGTAGATAACGTAGCAAGAGTTAATCAGAATTACACAATGCTGTCCGTCATGGCACAAATCACCACCTGATTATTCCTAACAGCAAGACATACTTTATCTCCAATTTTTCTGTCAGGTTCTTGAAGCGTCTGCTGAAGTTCTCCCCCTCTGCACAAAACCTCTCCTCACCAAGGATGGGAAGAGTCATTTTAAATTTCAACACGGTAAGCAGCCTTCCAAAGCTGTCTGCTTGCTGGACATCTAGAGCTCCAGCTCAACTATTTTACAATGTCCTTATTTTCCTTTACTGTCAAGGAAAAAAAGAAGTCCCTTCTCATGGAGTTAGACTGAAAAACATTTTCAAAGTTAACCATGGCTTGGGAGTATAATAAAAATATTCTACCATCATTTTTCAGCATGTTTAATACATGGCAGTTCACAGTGGGGTTTTTGTGCAGGTTTAGTCTTTCTCAAGGTGCCAGCTTTGGTTCCCCCTTTCCCCCCGCCCTCCCCATCAAGTTACTGACTCCCAGGAGAGGAAGATTATGAAAACAAGATTAAAGAAAAAGGAGTTAACAGTACATCTCCCCACATACAGAACTTTAATCTAGGGTTTATAGTCCTTTTAAAAGTAAACTACAATTCACTAGGTAACATGATCTTATTGCAGGTAAGACAATTAAACAGTCTATTTTTCTTCACTGAGCTTCATTTTGGAGCACTCACCATAGCTACAACAGGTCCAGAGTGCATATACTGCACCAGCCCCTCGTAGAACGGCCGGTCTTTTAGGTCAATGTAGTGTTCTCTCAGAAGGTCTTCAGAGGCCTGCGTTAAAAAACAAACAAATCATCCAACCAAAAAGCTTACAGTAAGAACTTAAGAGCATACTGAAATCACATAGATTAACCACAGAGCGCTATTAATCCTGAAACTTGCACGCACTTGAAAATTCAGCATTTCTAGCATCTTCCTAGAAGTACTTTTGGTCAATTCAGATTTTAACTGTTTGCTTTAACCTCAGCTGAACGCAGAAAAGTATCTTCTGCCAATATCTTTTGTCACAGTTTATGTGACCCGGTATTTGCTGAAGATATTTGGAGGTATTTATTAGGTATAGGAAGCATCTAAAAAAATATTCTCTTCAGACTAAGGACATCAAGTTACTAAAATTAGCATGCTTAGCATGTCTAAAGCATTTAGCCAGAGCTGGGAATTGGAATTTTTCCAAAATACCCAAAACATTCAAAGACTTCTCAAAATTTCAGGTTTAATTGTTCTGAAGGCCACATTGGTCATTATAGCACGCTGCTCTATTTCAAGGCTACGGTTTATATGAAAAAGAAGACATACAAATCAAGGAACACTTACATGTATTAATTTCATGGCCACCAGTTTGAATCCTTTCTGTTCAAACCGCTTGATGATTTCTCCCACCAGCCCCCGCTGGACCCCGTCAGGCTTGATGGCGATGAACGTCCGCTCGGCAATAGAAGCCATGGTCCTAATGAGAAAGGGAATAAAATTAATTATTCCAGGATCAGCAGGCAAGTGCAATCTCAGCCCTGTATTGCCTGTAATGTCAGCTATGATAATAATTAAATCTGAAGGTCATTAACCCATGATCTGCACTGATTCGATAAATCAGTCACTGTACACAGGGCTTTCACCAAGCGCTAGAAAAGTAAGTTTAAAACAAGAACAGTGTGGCCAAATACCAAAGCAAGCAATTAGCAAATATTAAAATCAGGAATGCATAAAAATTAAAATTCCTGATTAAAATCAGGAATATTAAAATGGAAGGTGGAGACTGTCACAGACACATCTCCGAGCGCAGCGTGGGAGGCTGCTGCCCGCGATTTAGGGCAAAGCGGGCTCAATAAATCCATGTGCAGCATTTTCACCTGAGAACTCGGTGAAATGTCGGTGGGGTGGTCTGGAGCAGGGGTTTGCTGCCCACGTGTGTATGTACAGCCATACACACCTGCAGACAAGGTATAGACCACAGCCCGAGGGGAGGGTGTCATCTACATCCCGGGGCTGTACAAAAGCACCGAGACGGGCCCCGGGGCGAGGAGGTGGGGGGGCGTTGGTCCTCCCGCCGCCCCCCAGCCCCGCGGAACGGAGGGGTGCCCGTGGCGGGTGGGATCACCCCCCGCCACCCCTTCTCTCCCCGGCACCTCCCCGCACCCGCTCTCACCTGCTGGCGGCCCCGGCTGGATCTGCCGGCCGGTGGCGACCGCCGGCCCCGCCGCGGCTTAACCCTAAGCCGCCCCCGCGGGGCAGCCGCCCGGGGGAAGCCGGTTGCCATGGCGACGGGGCGGCCTCCCGCCTGCAGGGGGCGCTGTGCGGCGGGCCCGAGGGTGCCGCCGGCCCCGGGGGACCCCCTGCCGCCCCCGGGGACCCCCCGCCCGCCGGGCTCGGGCGGCTGCCGGCGGTTCACACCATCACCTCATCTTCTGTCTTCCCGGTGGTTTAAAGCGGGGAAGCGCCTTTTTTCGGCATTTCAGTCTCAGCTGCTGAATCCCATCTAACCAAAGGAACACAAAAAATCTCATTATCATGTTGTTCTTAAGTTTCCTCATAAAAAAAAAGGCATTTTTTCTTCTACTAGACTAGATCTCCAAGTCCGAAACACCCTTCAACAATTTAACTCAACTCTTTGGCCTTGAGCATTTTATTCCCCTTGAGAGGCCTGAGGATCAAACACCTGGATGCCCGAGCTCCTGCACCGCAGCCCGTCCTGCCGAGGGGAAATCCGTGCTCGTCCTGTTTTTATTTCTCAAACTGGGGTGAACTTCCCGGGCTCTACTCCCTGGCTCTTCTCAAGAGCAAAATAATGTGTATTTCACCTTCCTCTGAGTAGGACTCGCTGCTGCTGAACAGGGGTAAATTCAGCTTTTTGGTAACATGGATTTCCTTACTGGGGATTTTCTCCTCACTTCAATCCATCACACACCCATGTCTTACTTTTGGTTCTGGTGGGAGAATGTAGATCTCACATAAGCATCTATTCATACAACCTGTTTACTAGTGTTTAGGGGTCTTTTTTTTTTTCCAGGTATGATCATCCTATGAACATACTCATTTTTCCAAGATCTCTGACTTAATGAAAGGTGTTTAAAAAAACAAAGCACTGTATGTTCTAACCAGCCCCCCTTGAAGTTATTTTGGGCTTAGAAACTCTGAGGATTCTCCTGACAATGTCCATGCACTATATTCCGTTGTTTCAATATATTCAATTTATTGAATTCAATATTCAATTCAATATTTCAATTTATTTAGGACATTTCATGCCACTATTACAACCTAATACTGTAATCCTCACTAAGGCAAAATAATATTTAAAAATAGAAAAAAAAAAAAGGCTCTAGAAACAGAATGTTTGAAAAATATTCACTTAAAAGCAGCAACAGGACATCTACTCACAGCCTCGCTGCAAGTACGTCATTTAACGATTAAAGCTTAGGACTTGCCAGAAGGTGGGCAAACACTATTTGCAGCTTGACCGTAGGTCTGCTGAGTGATCTTTGCCAAGTCTTTTAACCTCATTAAGGGTCATCTTTGTCACTTTTGAGATTAACCCATGATTAGCAGAGCATGCTGTGCATTATACAGTACATGAAACACCACGAAAGTATGCTTCCTTGATACTTGTAATGTACAAATTAACAGCTTTTTTGCTGGTTGAAAATTCTACCAAAATTACTGAATGACATTGAAAATTCCTTTTTTACCTAAAATGCAAAGCAGCAGACAGTCTAGACAAAAAACGTCCTAAAAACAGACTGATCATGGGAAGAGAAAGTAAAGACCTTCAAAATCTTCAGTGAGTGAACTAAATATAATTACTGAGCTCAAAGCACTTACGCATTGCTTAAAACCAGCAGAGATTTTTAAAACAGGCCTGAGGCAAAAGCTTGACTGTGAATGTCTCCAGACTCCAGGAGAATTTAAACGTAGCTCCTGGCTTTGCTGGTTTGGGCCCCGCTTTATAATGATCCCAGCCAACAGTCTGTATCTGTTCCGCTCAGAACATTCGGGTAGTTCTCACGGGGACTTGCATTCTGGGCTGTGCAAATCTTGCTCCTTATAATCAGCCTCATATCTCTGACGTGTTTTGTTGCTCATGGCCATACGACTCTTCCTTTAGCTCAGTATTACTACCATTTATCTGGTTTTAGCCTGATTTCTGTTGCGCTTTAAGAGAGAAGGCACCATAGAATTAAGCTGTTACAACTTCTTCCTCTGGGTAAAGTCCCAGTTAAGCTCTTCTCACCCCATACCAATTCAAGAGCTAATATTCTTCCCTGGTAAATTGCAAATAAATTTACTTTCCAATAAACTGTTGTTTCTAGGGATAGGGAATATAATTTTTCTTGTTATCCAGAAAACTAATTTCTTTTTCAGGCAGTTCTTTCCCCAGGAGTGTGAACTGCATTTTACTCTATTAGTTACCACAGCAGCCACTGCTTTCATGCTACAAAGACAATGCTATCAGGTTTCTGTGTGCCATATACTCGATTAGTTTACTAAATTGACAGGTCATCAAAGTCTCTTAATCTCCTGGCAACAACTAGGATGTAATTCCATAACTTGTTCTATTTTTAATACATCCCTGAGTTTGTTATCTCACACCGACTGCACGGTGCACACCGTAAACTGTGATCAGAGTGGTCAGACTGGCAATAAGATACATTTTTATGCCACTTGAAACTTGGCTTCTGCTCCCAGGTAATTTTTCTAATGTTCCTTTTTTTTTAATACTTCATTTATAAATGTTAGAAACCCCCCCAGGTGACTAGAAATAAAACACGAGCCTGAATGGCTCTCCTCTACCTGTTCTCAGCCTGACTGCAACTCTAGCAGCAGCCGCCTGCCTGCTCAGTGACGGACTCTCTCCAGCTGTGAAAGAAAATCACATCCATCAATTTTCCTAATAGAAAGAGGATAAAAATAGCATATCCTCAGAGACCCCTTCCCTTAAAGGCTGTCAGCAGACACCTTGACCCATTTTTGCTGTCTGCTTGAACGTATGTCCTTTAAGCTAATGTATTTGTGCAATTTGCCAAATATGATGGCAGTAACTCCAAAACTCCACACAAAGGATCTCTGCTGCCATTCAAGGCGATCGGTATTTTATCCTCACAATAATCTGCAGTTGTTTAGAGCTGTCCTCGCATTACGAGTATTATGCATGAATAATGTGGTGAGCTGTAGGCTGAAAGTCCACTGCAATCAGACGTGGCTTGCCAACCTTGTCCCGAGAGCAAAACGTTGTTACCTCTCAACTTTGGCCGTCTGCAGTCTTCCTACAAGATTTATTCAGGCTCAATAAAAAAACCACAAGTCAATAACCCTCACCCCAATGCTCTCAGTGTCTCCCACTGACAACTGGGGCAAATGGGAAATGATGTATGACCTAAAGGGAGAGAGAAATTCTGAAAGGCAGCTTCCCTCAACGCTCCTGCATCAAGCAAAGGTTGTAATCCGTGGCAGGCAGGAGGCAAACAGAGGGAAATCATGTTTTTTTTCAGTGGACAAGAGCTAAAGAGAAGTATGAAAAAGAATCTTTTCATCCGGATAATTTCCAATAATTTAAATTAAAATTTCACTTGAGGAGATGTCAGTAGGAGAGTACATATTGTATCATTTAAAAAAATATTTTTCAGCTAAAATTATGCCATTTTTTGGGGCCAAAGCTTTTGTTTCCTTTTGCTGTGTTTATAAATAAACTTGTACTTTAACCGCTTGTGCCCTGGCTGCACTATGTTAATAGTAGCTTAGGAGGATGACGTCTAAACAGAACTCACACCAAAATCCAATATACAGGGCTGAAGTATTTTCTTCTTCGTCATTCCTGTGCAGACCCACTAGCTTAGTACATAAAAATACAACACAGAATATGCATTTAAATCTTAGTTACTTAGAATCAGTCCAAATGAGAGAAGATACAGTGCAAACCTCTACTGCTCTCCAGTGGAAATTAATGCAATCACCACAATTAAAGTTCCACCACTTTCAAGCTTTTGCATTTTTTAAACCACTCACTTTTTTCTTCCTGTACTGGCACTAGGCCACCAGCTTCCTAGCTGTCTTGTGCACAAAATACATTTACTTTATGACAAATGATTTCCCCAAATATGAATTGTATGATAAAAATGAGGGCCACGGAGCAACACTAAGACTTTTCAATCTCAGTGAATGTTTTCAAATTCACAGTAAATGTCCAGAATAGCTCCCACTATTCCCATGATGAAACACATGATCTGGAATGGCATTCAGTGTGCCAAATCTGGGGGAAAACAGTCTTTTTTAGGAAGCGCAAGATACTTTCTAAGCTGTGCCACTGCTAATAAAACAGGATTTCTGGTATTAATTTACCTGGGGGCCTTGTTACAAATAAAAGGTGTTTCTGTCATCAGAGAGCACCCAACACCGCGCCCCAAGCCGGCTGTGGGAGCTGCCAAGCCCTCAACCCTCGGTTTAGCTCCCTCAGTCATCCCGAAATGAATCACCTGCTCTTACTTAGGCCTCTGCGGGCGCAATAAATAATCAATAACGCTGCTTTCACACCAGCTGTCCGGTAGCGTCTCCTGAACTCCTCTGTTCCAAGAGTTGAAGATTTAATTGTCCCACCCCCGGGGCTCGCGGCCCGGCTCCTCACGGGGCTGGGCCCATTGGGCTTCAGCGCCTCTCCTCCAGCCCTGCGCCGCAACCGGCTGAATCTCGGTCCCGACACCGAAACGAACTTATCCTCTCCCCCAAGAGAGAACCAACAGCCCTCCTCTCCATCCCCACCACCTACACCCCTTCCCCGCCGCCCCAGCGCTCACAACCCCGCAAGATGGCGGCCGCCATCGCCTCAGCCGCCCCGGCCCCGCCCACA